GTGGCAAGTGCCTGCGCTCCCGTTGAAGCTGCACACTCCTTTGATGCATTGCTTGGCTCTGTCACCCCGGGAGCCTAGCAAATGCTGCCTCCTGTCCGCTTAGAGACGGACAGGTTAGTTGGAAGCTTGGTGCTATCTGTGGAGCAAACCAGTGGGAGCAGCTGTGGCAGTGCTCACCTACCGGTTCAGGGTCTCCGAGGAGTCGTGGTTTCCTGCTCTGTCAGCTCCCAGATGCATGGAGACCCCAGGGCAGCAGCTGGACGTGTGCAGACAGATGCCTTCTGGGAAGAAGGTGGGAGCCGGGCATTTCTGCCTGTTTGCGCTGCACTGGGGGTTAGCACTGGAAGTGCGTGCATGCCCATCTCAAAACTGTTCTTCGCTCTCTGCGCACTTGTGGGACTCACAAATACAGAGCCTCGTCAGCTCCCAAAGCTGACTGAGGAGCTAGTCCTTCGTTTGAGAGGGGTAAATGTTGTATACTCAATGTGTGAAGTTAGAGACCTGATTTTATCCTGGAGCAGGGGGTGGGAGAAGGCATGGGCCTTGCCCACGTGCCTGTCCAGGCACCTGGAAATCTATCGTTTACCTGCCTCATTGGCTCCAGGTGCCGGCTAGTTATTAATAGAAGCCCATCCGTCACCTCGGGCAGCAGCTAGGAGAACCTGCAGACATACCCTTGCAGGGAGAAACTGGGAGCCTGGCATTTCTGCCTGTTTGCTGGAAGTGCTCATGTGCCCATTTAAAACTCTCTTTGCCCTCTGTGGTTGCAGAGGGTTCATGACCGCTGACCCATGTCCACTCCCAGAGCTGGGTGACGTAGCAGCCAAGCCCTTGAGTGGGAACTGCAAGAGCCCGGCTATGTGTGGTCCAAACCCTTCACTCTTCAGGAGGAAGGCGGGAGTAGGGATTCCTCCCTCATAGTCAGGTACTGTGTGGAGGGTGCGGCTCGCGGTGGGAGCACGTCTCAGCGGGTCCAGCCCCCGCAATGTGGATGTTTTCTCCATTGCCCCATGTGCGGGACTCTCGGCTAGTTTCTGGGTTTCTTTCAGAACGAGTTGATCTGTGTGTAGGTGGGAGTTTTTCCGAGTGTCCACAGGAGAAGAGAGCACCAGGAGCCCCCTTTCCTGCCATCTCGCTTATGTCACCCTCTGCGATTGTTTTTGTTGAATTTGATTCACTGGTATTTTCTTGAGGAATTTTGCATTTATGTTTATGAGAGATACTGGTGTCTAGGTTTTTTTTTCCTTATCTGTCTGGTCTTGGTATTAGGATAATGCTGACCTCCGAGAAGGTGTTAGGAAGAGTTCTCTCTGCTTCTGTCTTCTGGAAGAGATTGCAGGGAATTGGTATAAGTTTTCCCATAAACGTTTGTTAGAGCCCATCATTCACTAGGGGACCCATCTGCATATAAATGAGCACTCCCAGAGATCGATCCAAGATGGCCGACCACTAACAGCTCAGGATTGTAGCTCCCAGTGAAAGCTCAGAGAACAAGACGACGCCACATCATTAGACGAATTTTCATCACTCACCGATCAGCCGATTCCCAGTGGAGGAGCCCCACGGGTCGCCAGTGCGACTCTTGTGGCTGCCGCAGCGGTTTTGCCGGCGTCTCGGCGCAGCAGCTCTTCATGTAGAGCCAACGGGACTGCTTCCCCTACTGACCGGAGTTTGGAGCTCCAGGAAGTCAGAGCCACTTGTTGCGGACTCAAGAGGGAAGCCAGACCAGAGATTCCCGGGCAGAAGAGCACCATCAGTCTTATCGCTGCTATTTAGGCTGCCACAGTGTGTTGCTTGGATCCCAGCACTGGGAATCAATAAGTCGGACGTCGATTCAGAAAACTAATTAGAAAGGCGGTTCATCTACAATGAAGGGAAAAAAAACAGCCTAAGAAGGCCGAGTATACTCAGAATCAGAACCCATCAGCAACGGAACAAGCCCTGATGGAAAAGGACTCATCAGCAACCGAACAAGCCCTGATGGAAGAGGACTCATCAGTAACGGAACAAGCCCTGATGGAAAAGGACTGTGTTCCATTATCTGAAGTAGGCTTTAAAAGGTGGATGATAAGAAACTTCTGGGAGTTAAAGGAACTTGTTCTAACCCAATGTAAAGAAACTAAGAACTTGGAAAAAAGGTTCGATGAAATGTTGAAAAGAATAGACAATATAGAGAGGAATACAAATGAACTTATGGAGTTGAAAAATACAACACGAGAACTTAGTGAAATATGTACAAGCTTAAACAGCCGAATGGATCAAGCAGAAGAAAGGGTATCAGAGGTCGAAGACCAACTTAATGAAACAAAACGACAAGACAGGAATAGAGAAAAAAGGATAAAAAGGAATGAGCAAAGTCTCCAAGCAATATGGGACTATGTGAAAAGACCTAATATACGCTTGATTGGTGTACCTGAATGTGACGGAGAGAATGAAGTCAAGCTGGAAAATACTCTCCAGGACATTATCCAGGAAAATTTTCCTAATTTAGCAAAGCAGGACACTATTCAACCCCAGGCAATACAGAGAACACCACAAAGATATTCCTCAAGCAGACCAACCCCAAGGCACATAATCATTAGATTCACCAAGATCGAAACGAAGGAGAAAATATTAAGGGCAGCCAGAGAGAAAGATCAAGTCACCCATAAAGGTAAGCCTATTAGGCTTACAGCAGATCTCTCAACGGAAACCCTACAAGCTAGAAGAGAGTGGGGGCCAATATTCAATATACTTAATCAACAGAACTTTCAGCCCAGAATTTCATATCCTGCCAATTTAAGCTTTACATTTGAAGGAAAAATAAAATCTTTTAGGAACAAGCAAGTACTCAGAGATTTTATTACCACCAGGCCTGCTTTACAAGAACTTCTAAAAGAAGCATTATACACAGAAAGGAACAACCAGTATGACCCTTTCTAAAAATACACCAAAAAGTAAAGAGCATTAACATAAAGAAGAATTTTTATCAACGAAAGGACAAAATAGCCAGTTAATAACAAATGGCAGCAACCCTAAATTTAAATCGACCAAATCTCCCAATCAAAAGATACAGACAAAATCTAACGGTATATCCAAAGATATACATAGACTCAAAATAAAGGGTTGGAAAAAAAAAAAAACAAAAACGTACCAACCAAATGGAGAGCAAAAATAAATAAGAAGCAGGAGTTGCAATTTTCACATTTGACAAAATAGATTTCAAAGCTACAAGGATACAAGGGTAAAAGGAATAATGTAATAATAAGAGATCTTAACACCCAGATACATAAGACCCATAATGAGATTTAGATTCAACGAGACAACAAATTGATAACGATACCCGGGACTGGAACTAAGATCCAGAACAAATAAACTCAATAGAGCTCTCCATTTTAAACACACAAAATATACATTATCCACAAAATCTAACGATATATCTGAAGATATACAAAGACTCAAAACAAGGGGATGGAAAAAAACTCACCAACCAAATGGAGAGCAAAAATAAATAAATAAAAAGCAGGAGTTGCAATTCTCACACTTAATAAAATAGATCTCAAAGCTACAAGCATGCAAGGGTAAAAGGATTAATGTAACAATAAGAGATCTTAACACTCAGATACATAAGACACATAATGAGATTTAGATTCAACAAGACAACAAATTGATAACGATATCCAGGACTTGAACTCAGAGCCAGAACAAATAAACATAATAGAGGTCTCCATTTTAAACACATAAAATATGCATTAACCACTATAAACACTCAAAATATTGATCGGCCATTATTGAAACCCATTTTAGGAATGAAGTAATATTCCTTTTTCCCTCTTTTTCTTTTTTTCCCCTTTTTTCTCTTTTTCTCTCTAAAAAAAAAAAAAATGAGCACTCCCAGTTTCTAAGACAGTTTGTTTTTCTTATTGTTACTGTCTTTTCACTTCTCCTCTTCCCTCCCCACCCTCCCAATCCCCGTGTTTCCTGTTCACCCTTTAGAAATATAAATATCTCGCCTTTTACCTCCCCCTCACCAGACATTCCCTGCAGGGCAAAAGAAAGAATCTGTAAACCTGGGGATGGGTTGATTGAGGTGTGATTGAGAACAGGGCACCTTCTTCCAGCTGATCTTTCCTGAGACTTGGCAGATTTGCAGCCCAAAGCATACCCACCAGGCAACTCTCCCTGCCAGGGGTGGCCTCGAAACCCCTCCAGGGGTTTGCCTTTCACCCACTAGGAAGACATGGAGAAAGCATGCTCACTCGACCTCTTTTATAATTTACAATTTCAGCTGCCAGGTACATGGTAATTGCCATTGCTCACTCCCCCCACCCCCACAACACACCTTATGAAAATGCCCCTTTCTCCTACAAAGGAGAAATGGCACATGACAAAGGCAGGATGCATCGTGCTCCTTCCCCAAGCTGGCTTCAGAAATAAATGCATGTGTTTGTATAAAACCTTTTGTGTTCCACTTTTGTGTCAGAGTTAGTTGAACTCTACATGCAGAGAGCAGCTAACCAACTTTTCGGCTGCACGGGCACTACGTTCAGTTTTCCCTCCACGCTCAGTCTAGATAGCCTCAATCAACCTATCTCCAAGTTCATGGATTCTTTCTCTCACCAGCTCTAATCCGCTATTGATGTCCTCTAGTAAATTTTTCATTTTGGTTATCGTACTCCTCAACTCAAGAATTTCTGCCTGGCTGGGCGTGGTGGCTCAAGCCTATAATCCCAGCACTTGGGGAGGCCGAGGCGGGTGGATCATGAGGTCAAGAGATCAAGACCATCCTGGTCAACATGGTGAAATCCATACTCTATTAAAAATAGAAAAAATTAGCTGGGCATGGTGGCGCGTGCCTGTAATCCCAGCTACTCGGGAGGCTGAGACAGGAGAATTGCCTGAACCCAGGAGACGGAGGTTGCGGTGAGCGCCATTGCACTCCAGCCTGGGTAACGAGTGAAACTCCCTCTCAAAAAAAAAAAGAATTTCTGCCTGGTTCTTTTTTTACAGCTCTTTCCTTATTGATAGTCTTTATTTGGTGAGACAGCATTTTCGTACTTTCTTCTACTTCTTTTGACACGGTTTTCTGGACGCATTGTAACAGCTGAAGTCTCTGTTTAGTAAGGCCGGCATCTGGGGCTTCTCCTGAAAAGTTCTCCTGACTGCTGTTTTCCTGTGTGGCCCTACACTTCTGCTTTCCCTGTATGTCTTGTCTCTTCTGTTGGAACAGGAACATTATAGGGAAGTAAGGTGGCAACACGACGCCAGAGACCCCACACAGGGTTTGCTGCTGCTGTTCTTGTTCTTGTTGTGGATCATCGTTCAGTGACAACTTCCCTGCACTAACTCTGTTGCATCTAGATTCCTGTAGCGTGTAGCCACTGACTGCTACATTTTGTTACTTTCGTGGTCAGATAATAAGTGGTCAGAAATTTCCTTAAATGCCTGAACCAGTGAGTCCTCCAGTATTTGCGAAGCGGCTCTGTGTGTCTGTTAGGGCACACTTTCAAAGCGCAGACAGTTTATGATTGTGTTTTCGCCTTCATTGCTTCCTTGCACATGGCCTTGCGGTCACCCAGAGGGGAAAGATGGGAGCCCTCTCGGGTCTTACCTGGGCATGTGCATGGGCTCCTAGATCCCCAGGAATATATCAGTGCTGTTCAAAGTCCCCTGTGAACAGCCATTCCCCAGGCTGAGTGCAGTGGTGTAATCACAGCTCACTGTAGCCTCAACAACCTGGGCTCAAGTGATCCTCCTGCCTCAGCCTCCCAAGTAGCTCTGACTACAGGCATGCACCAGCACACTCAACTAATTTTTTAAATTTGTTATAAAGACAGTCTTGCTATGTTGCCCAGGCTGGTCTCAAACTCCTGAGTTCAAGCTATCCTCCCGCCTTCGCCTCCCAAAGTGTTGGGATTATAGGCGTGAGCCACTATACCTGGCACTGGTGCTTGTTTTAAGAGGTTCTCAAAAATCAATACCAAACTTATTGTATGTTTATTGATCACTTCATATGTAGTGCCAGTTTACCCTTTCGGTGGGGTGGGGGGCGAGGAAGAGACAAAGAGGTGAGTGTTTATGTGTGTCTAGGTACCAGGGCATCAGAAGCGACTCTGAAGACCTCACTAATGGGCTGTTCCTTTTTTCTGTGGCCAGTGTTTGTCCAACATGATGCTGCCCAGCTCTACCTCAAAATCTGGAACCTGATAAAGGACCAGATCGCTGATGTGGACTTGGTAAGAACCTAGGACCAGAGCGCCTGGAAGCTTCAGACGCTGCTCATTTAACTCATTCAGCTATTGTCCCTGTCGTGTGTAGAGGGAAAGAGTTAATCCACATACAATGCCTATCACAGTTTCATAATATTGGTACTGGGATTATTTTTCACCTTTGTGAGTGGGACAAAGAGCATTAGTGGCTACCGTTTCTGCAGCTTCTGTCTCTTGGCTCCAACTTCTGGCAGTTGGCCTGGCCTGGCTTATGGTGTTGTTTCTGTCTCACCCCTCTGCTCCCTCTTCCAGGCGGGGAGGCTGCAGGCCCTGTATATGATCCGGATGAAGGACTCTTTGATTTGCCTTGACTGTGCCGTGGAGAGAAGCAGAAACAGCAGCATGCTGACCCTCCCACTTTCTCTTTTCGATGTGAACTCAAGGCCCCTGAAGACGTTGGTAAGGGGATTCTCTCCGTATTTGCTGCTCCCGTATGTGTTAATCCATCATCTGTTGTCACAACTCAATGTCTGAGAGTAGGTAATGTATTTCTTACACTTCTGGAGGCTGGGAAGTCAAGGTTGAGGGGCTGCACCTGGTGATGGCCTGCTTGCTGGTGGGGACTGAGTCCGGAGGCGAGGCGATGCGGGGTATCACCTGACGAGGGGGCCAGGCATGCTAATGTGCCAGCTCAAGTCTCTCTTCCTCTTCCTATGAAGCCACCTGTCCCACTCCCAGGATAACCCATTAATCCATGGGTGGATTAATTCATTCGTGAGGGCTGTGCCCTCATGACCCAATGACCTCCCTCTTTTTTTCTGGAGACGGAGTCTTCCTCTGTCACCTGGGCTGGAGTGCAGTGGCGTGATCTCGGCTCATTGCAGTCTCCACCTCCCGGGTTCAAGCAATTCTCCTGCCTCAGTCTCCTAAGTAGCTGGGATTACAGGTGCCTGCCACCACACCTGGCTAATTTTTGTATTTTTAATAGGGGCGGGTTTCACCACGTTGGCCACACTGGTCTGAAACTCCTGACTTAAGTGATCTGCCTGCCTCGGCCTCCCAAAGTGCCGGGATTACCGGTGTGAGCCACTGTGCCCTCCCCAGTCATCTCTCAAAGGCCCCACCTGTCCATACAGCCACACCGGGGATTCAGTTTCAAGCTGGCTTTTGGGGAGGACAAACACGGAAGCCGTATCAGCACACAGCACAGCTGCCGGTTCCCCCTTGCCTCTTGGGTCTAGCACTGGCCTCTGAGGAGTTGCTTATTTCATGTTCATGGCTCTGCCAATTTCTCCTTTGTTTTGGCAAAAATCTTTTTTCCTCCTACCTCCTCTTCCCTCATACTGCTCACCCAGCAGGAGCCCCCCCACCGTTTCATTCCTCCAGTCAGTAGGTGACCTTTGAGATCCTGCCAAGTGGACCATCCCAGGCCAGGCATTAAGAGGGATATGAAGGGAATCAGAAGAAAAGCTGAAACCCTCAGCTGCAAAGTATGGGGAGGCTGTCCCTGATACAAGTGGGGGTCTGTGTCGCTGCCCAGAAATCTCGTGTTCAGTGGTAATCCTCAATGTTGGCAGTAGGGCCTGATGGGAGGAGATGGTTTGGCACCATCCCCCATGGTACTATCTTTGTGACAGTGAGTTCTTATGAGATCTTGAGTTCTCTCAAGAGCTCACACTTGTTTAAAACTGTGCAGCCAGGCTGGGTGCAGTGGCTCATACCTGTAATCCCAGCACTTTGGGAAGCTGAGGCAGGCGGGTCACCTGAGGTCAGGAGTTTGAGACATTGCACCCCAGCTCCCCACTTGATGTCTTGCACCTGCCCCTCCCATGTAAGATGCCTGCTCCTGCTTGGTGCTCTGCCATGATTGGGACTTCCTGCGGCCTCCCCGGAAGCAGATGCCACCATTTGTCAGCCTGCAGAGCCATGAGCCAATCAAGCCTTTTTTCTTGATTACCCAGAAATTACCCAGTCTCAGCTATTTCCTCACAGCGGTGTGAGAACAGATGAATACAGTACTCGAGGTGGGAAATGCCAACGCTGCCTTTTCCCTGTTCTCTTTGGTGGGGCAGGAGGATGCCCTGCACTACTTCTTCCAGCCCAGGGAGTTATCGAGCAAAAGCACGTGCTTCTGTGACAACTGTGGGAAGAAGACTCGTGGGAAACAGGTACTGATTCCCTAAATCAGACTCAGCTGTCCATTGGTGCACACAGGGGATTGGTTCTAGGACCCTTGTGTTTACCAAAATCTGCACATACTCAAGTCCCGCAGTCAGCCCCGCGGAATCCACGTATAGGAAAAGTCGGTCCCTCATCTATGCGGTTGTGCATCTGGAGTGTTGTATTTTTGATGAGCGTTTGGTTGCAGATGTGGAACTTGTGCTTATGGGGGAGGGCAGACTGTACTTATTTAAAACAATTTGTGTATTCAGTGGACCCACACAGTCCAACCTTGTGCTCTTCAGGGGTCAACCGTCCTTCACTAGTCTGGATTTCCTGATAGAATTGTCAGAGTCCCCAAGGGGACTTCGTGATGGGTGAGAAAAGGAATCTGGGTCTGACTAGTATCTGGGATCCCGGCGTTCTGATTTCTAGAGCCGCGGATGTGGCTTCTCAGGTCACATCACTGAGAGGGACCGGAGGAGAAGGCCTGAGAGTAGCCGGCAGGGCATTTCCCTCGGGGTGAGACAAGCTCCCTGGAGCAGACGCCGTGGCTCCCTGGGTCCTGGCGCCTCTGCAGAGCCCTGTGCCCTTGTGCCTCTTGTGGGGACCCTGTGATGGTAGAATAGCCATGTTTCGCTTTATTCTCAGAGGAGCTCAGCAGATTCAGTGAACGGTAGCCTTGAACTCTGCGATGTCACCCTGCGTCTTCTTTTGTGGGATGAATGCGCCACTGGTCCTGACATTTCTTTCACGCCCATTCCAAGTGGACTTTATATACAGAGTGATTTTTCTTTTTCAGGTCTTGAAGCTGACCCATTTGCCCCAGACCCTGACAATCCACCTCATGCGATTCTCCATCAGGAATTCACAGATGAGAAAGATCTGCCACTCCCTGTACTTCCCCCAGATCCTGGATTTCAGCCAGGTGCTTCCGATGGCGCGAGAGATCTGTGATGCTGAGGAGCAGGTGAGATGCTTCTGACTCTGTGCCGTCCTGCCTCTCCCCAGATGCTGCATTTTTCCTGTTTTCCCTTCCCTCACCCCCAGTCTGCTAGAAGCCACCCATTCCTCAGAGACTGCCCGGCCTCAAAAAGACTTTCTTCTTTCTAAATATTGGATTTGTGTTCATATGCCTCACAGCACCGAGGGACGGAATCCAGAATTCAGTAGGTTTCTTTGGAAATAACGTGGAATACATGGAAATGCACAGGCAAACATGTCACTGTGGGTGCTTCGTACCAAGCAAACTTTCCTCCTCAAATGGCCTGTGCCCACCTTGAGGATAATCATAAAGTAGCCAGTTGACTGGGCCACATTTAAACAGAGTAAAATTTAATTCACTTGTCTGGAGACAATAACTGATTGAGAGATTCTGAGAAGAAAAAAAGACACAAGGCTAGGCGATGTGGCTCATGCCTGTAATCCCAGCACCTGGAAAGGCTGAGGCAGGGTGATCACTTGAGCCCAGGCGTTCGAGACCTGCCTGGGCAACATAGTGAGACCCCCATCTCTAAAAAGAAAAACAAAAATTAGCTGGCCGGCAATCCCAGGACTTTGGGAGGCTGAGGGAGGTGGATCATGAGGTCAGGAGTTCAACTCTGTCTCTACTAAAAAATATAAAAATTAGCTGGGCATGGTGGCTTATGCCTGTAATCCCAGCTACTTGGGAGGCTGAGGTAAGAGAATTACTTGAACCGGGACCTGGGAGGCAGAGGTTGCAGTGAGCCAAGATCACGCCACTGCACTCCAGCCTGGGCTACAGAGTGAGACTCCATCTAAAAAAAAAGAATTAGCTGGGTGTGGTAGCACACACCTGTAGTTCCAGCTACTTGGGAGGCTGAGGTAAGAGAATTGCTTGAACCGGGACCTGGGAGGCAGAGGTTGCAGTGAGCCAAGATCATGCCACTGCACTCCAGCCTGGGCTACAGAGTGAGACTCCATCTAAAAAAAAAGAATTAGCTGGGTGTGGTAGCACACACCTGTAGTTCCAGCTACTTGGGAGGCTGAGGTGGGAGGATCACCTGAGCCCAGGAGTTTGAGGCTGCAGTGAGCGATGCTCTATCACTGAGCTCCAGCCTGGGCGGCAGCACTAGATCCAGTCTCTAAAAACAAAACAAAACAAGAAAAACTAAAGAGAAAAGATACAAATATCTTTTCTCCGTAGTTGAAATGCTACGCAGCAAACTTCGTATTCCCATACGTGCGGGTCTGTTTTCGGGGGGTCTCTGCTGTTTCTTTGGTCCGTTTGGCTCTCTATGCTCTGGAGCCGTGGCATTTAGACAATGAAGGCCTGATGGAGCTCCTACTAGAACGTGGTTTCCTTACCTACGTAGGCCATTGACATTTCACGGGATTCTCTTTTTCTTTCATTCTAGCGCTTTCTATTTCTACCTGCACATTCTGCCTGATGAAGTATATTTAAAACTGTTTTTCTCTTCAAAAAGACTTTTTTTTGGGTGCAGTGGGTCATGCCTGTAACCCCAGCTCTTAGGGAGGCCACGAGGATTGCTTGAGTCCAGTAGTTTGAGCCCAGCTGGGCAACAGAGCGAGGCTCCGTCTTTGCAACAACAAAAGCTTCACTATGGAACGTGCGAATATATTCCAGGGTGTCTAGTGAGGAGTTAGACAGCGAGTCCTCAGCTGCAGCCGTTACAAAACTCACGGCGGGTCCTGCTCTCACTATCAACCACCCTCTTGTCTCATCCAACCCTGTGCTGGATTTTTTGGATGCAAATCCCAGATGCCATCCTGCTTTATTTGTAAACACTTCATTACGGATCCCTAAAGAATAAGCACTAAAGACACAACCAGCTCCATCTGGTAATCCCTTGAGAGCATCAAATATCTGGTCAACGTGCAGACGTCCCGACTGTCCTAGAATCGATGTGGTTTGTTTGAATCTAGATCCAAACAGAACCTACACTTGCATTTGGTTAAGTTCCTTTCTTTTCTTGATTAAGTTCCCTTTAGGTTTCTGTGGCTTTTCTTTTCCTTGCAGTTGATTTGGTTGAAGACGTCTTAAATATGCTAGAACTGGCTGGCTGGGGTCATTCAGTGTGTTAATCTAACCCTTTTATTTCTTGTAAGCTAATATTCAGGTACAGATATCACCAGCGTTTTATAAAGTCCCGCACAAGGTCCGCAAATGGAAATAGGGGATAACTGTAGCCTGCACTGTGGGTGACTCAGCTTTGCGTGTGACGCCCTTGCCCTCTGTCTCCCCTCCCTCTACAAAGAGCCTTTTGGCTACGGTGGCTCAGGTTACAGACACTCCTGGGCTTGTGGAGAAACAGAACTGTGTTCTGATGACCCCCACCCCTCCCAGGGGGAGCTTCTAATCTTGCCTGGCTTTGGGGGCTCTCCATGACCTCCTGGCTTCCATCTCCCATGTACTCTGCTCTGCCAAGCTGCTGAGCCTTTGCAGTTCAGGATCCACACTCAGGAAAGCCCCTCCTGGAAGGTGCCCGCCGGCCATGGGGCGGGACTGTTGTCTAGTATTCTGAAGTCCCATAGTCGGGCCCAGGGTGGGCAGGTATAAATGTGTGAGGCAGTTGTGTTTGTGGTGGCGGGTGAAGTGTCTCGTGCCTGTGTCTTTCCAGCCCGGAGGGCAGTATGAGCTCTTCGCTGTGGTTGCGCACGTGGGAAGGGCGGACGCCGGTCATTACTGTGCATACATCCGGAACGCTGTGGACGGAAGATGGCTCTGCTTCAGTGACTCCAATATTTGCTCGGTGAGAAACATCGTCCACAGTCGCCTCCTGCCTGGGATTGGCCACCTGTTATTGAGATCAGAGGTTGGCAGCCTTCCCCTGTAAAGGGCTGGAGAGAAAGTTCTTCAGGCTTCGTGGTCTGTACAGTGTCTGCTGCAGCCACTGGACTCTGCCCTGTGGAGCAAAAGCAGCCACAGACAGTACCTGGGCGAATGAGCGTGGCTGGGGCCAGTTAAATTTATTTCCAAAAATGGGCTTGGAGGCTGGGTGTGGGCTCACACCGTTAATTCCAGTAGTTTGGGAGGCCGAGGCGGGAGGATCACTTTCAGCCAGGAGTTCAAGACCAGCCTGGGCAACAAAGCAAGAACCAGCTCTACAAAAAAAATGGAAAGTTACAGCTAGGCATGGTGGTGCACACCTGGAGTCCCGGCTACTCAGGAAGCTAAAGCCGAAGCGGGAGGATCACTTGAGCCCAGGAGTACGAGGCTGCAGTGAGCTGTTACTGTGCCAGTGCTCTCCAGCCTGGTGACAGGGCGAGAACCGGTCTCATCGAAAAACAAACAATGCACATTCTCACTTACAAGTGGGAGCTAAACACTGGCTACTCATTGACTTAAAGATGGCAGCAAGAGACACTGGGAACTGCTGGACGGGGGAGGGAGGGGGTGAAAAACTAACTGTGGTGTCCTGTGCTCACACACCCGTGACAAACCCGTACATGTGCCCGCTGAATCTGACATGAAAGTTGAAAGTTTATTTAAAAAGCCCGACGGGGTTGGATTTGGCTTGTGCGCCTGGAGCTTGTTAGCCTCTGCGTTAGATATTAACTAACAGAAACTTAGTGCTAATCTTCCCAGGCCGTCCATTTTGTTCTTCTCCGAGGTGATGTAGAGAAAGGCTTGATCCAGCTGCCTGGATGTTTGCTGACACTTGTCCTGCCATGGGTTAATGAAGCATCCTTTTCTGGTGGAGGCTTCATGCTGCTGTGCTGATGTGTCTTCTCGTCTCTCTAGGCAGGAGACTGCATATCTTCTGCTTTACATGAAGACAGAATGCTAATGACTATGCCCAGAACCTTCAGAGATGGACGCACTATCATTTTCCACTTCCGTCCTGGATCTATGGAGTCTTCTAAGAGATTTCACGATGAGGACAAGCATCGTTTTCCAACTATATAGTTGAGCCTTATTTATAATCAGGGATATTATCAAAATATTTAACACTGAAACCCTGCAGGACCTGATCAGTCAGGATGGACACTTTCACCAGTGGACCTGGCCACATGGCTGCTGGGTCTTGGGTGCTCCCGGCTGTGGTCAGCCCTTTAGGAGCCTGTGGGAGGTCCAGGTGCTCCACAGAGGACAGCAGTGGCGGTGGGGTCATCTGGATGCTAAGGGTCGGTGGCAGTGGGTATTTCAGTATTTCACAACTGCTGTGCCCAGACTTGTGTGTACTGGCTGAATATCAGTGCTGTTTGTAATTTCTCAGTTTTAGAACCAATATTAATCCATATAAATCAAGTGTTTTGTAACTGTTATTCTTTTATTCAACAAATATTTATTGACAGTCTGTTCTCCATAAGATAGCGTGATAGCACAGTAATGAATCAAGTTCTTTTCCACAAAAGGAGTTTGCAGTTTAATGGGGGATAGCAGGCCTGGTGCTATAGGAATTCAAAGGACAGGGAAGTCACTTCTGTTGTGGGGCCCTGGGAGGAGCCTCCAGGCTGGAAAGGCTTAGGGTGGAGACACCGATAGGGACAGCGTAAGGAGTGGACTGGCTGCCAAAGGCCTTGCCCAGCATTCGGAAACCATCCACACATCCAACTTTTTTCCACCAGGGGTGAGGAAGGCTGGGGGTGGGAAGGCAGGTGGAGCTCAGAACGTGGAGGGTATCCAGCAAGGCTGGGAAGCTTGCCCCTGATCTGGTGGGTGGCGAGGAAGCCCTGAAGGGACGTGAGAAGGAGAGGAGCGTTCAGTTGTGTTCTGCTGACATCGATCTGCTGGAGCTGGGGTTAGAGACAAACGTGGTGGGAATGGAAAGCCATCACAGTCACTAGCGCCATTTTGGGGGAAGAGTGGACGTGACTGGTGAGAGAACAGGGGCCCAGGGAAGAGTCTGGCCCCAACCTGGGAGGTGAGCCCCCTGGGTGTGAGCACCCCCACTTTACAGAAGACGTGATGGAGACATTCAGATGTTTAACTCCTGTTCAAGATTCCACACTTGGTAAGCGGGAGACCAAACTCCCAACTGAAGACGTAGGTCATTTATTTACTATTTTGTTTGTGTTGTTAACAATGATTAGCCATACAAGAGTCAATTATTGTAAAATCTTCAAACAACGTAGATAAGGAGGGAATCCCTTCCTTGGAGCTTGCCCTTGTCAGACGGCTGGATGAGTGTCCTGGGGCGTCCGTAACTAACTGCCAGGGACTGGGTTGCTTACGATGACAGAAACGCATGGCGTCCCAGTGCCGGAGGCCAGAAACCCTCATTCCAGGGGTGCAAAGGGCTGGCTCCTGAGGCTCCAGAGGAGGCCTGCTCCCTGCCTCTCAGCTTCTGCTGCTGGCCAGCAGTTGTCATTCATTTGCTTACCGCTGTTTCACTCCAGCCACCGCCTCCATCTGCCCATGGCCTTCTCTTTTCTTTGCAGAGATGAGGTCTTGCTCTGTTGCCCAGGCTGGAGTGCAGTGGTGCGATCACGGCTCACTGCAACCTTGAACTCCTGTGCTCAAGTGATTCTCCTGCCTCAGCTTCCCCAGTAGCTGAGACTATAGGCACAAGGCACCATGCCAGCCTACTTTTAAAATTTATTTTTGTAGAGATGGAATTTCACTATGTTGCCCAGGGTGGTCTTGAACTCCTGGCTTCAAGCAGTCCTCCTGCCTCCATCTTCTGGAGTGCTGGGATTGCAGGTGTGAGCCACCATGCCTGGCCAGTCCTAATTATATCTACACAGGCATCAGTCAGTACTCAGGGCTCAGCAGCCTCCAAGGGCATGATGGATGAGGAAGGACGTGATGGCCCCATCCATGCCAGCCCAGGGTCTAGGACATGTGTGTTCTGAGAACTTCCGGTGGTCACTGGGTCCAGTAGCCCCAAGCCCAGCTCCGCTGAGCAGCTCCGAGTGAGGTTGCCTTCCCTCCAACTGCTCGTTTCAGTCTCTGGGACTGTCCTCTCCCGAAGCTCAGAGGAAGGAGGCCTCCCCTCACCCCAAGGTCATCTGCTGCTCATGCCCAGACTTCAGTGGGCCTGGGGACACTCGGGAATGAGGGACGTTCTCACATGAAGACCCATCCCACAGAGTACTGACGGAGGATCAGGGGTTCATGCAGGGCTGTGTCCCCGCTCTGGGAGCATGGGCCAGCTGAACTGTTCTGGGGCAGGCAGGACCCCTCTCGTGTTGGGGACAGCTCACCTGGTTGGGACTGTCACTGATCATGGTGACAGGATTAGGTTGAGTATCACAGAGGCCTTGGACCCTTAGGTGCGTGGGGAGCTTTCTGAAAGCACAGAGTTCATAACTTTCACCCTTCCCCCTGATTTGGGTGTTCGGGTCCCCTGCAGGGCATTGTCCTCATGACTGGAGCAGCCTGGCCCTGTCCTCGGGCCTTGTCCTGTGCACGGGTCATTGTGGGAATACTGGGCTCATGCCCATCACAGACGGGACTCCTTTGGGGCCCGGATGCAAACTAGAGCATTCCCAAGGAGGCTGTCGCCATTTTGGTGACACCTTCCAGTGTGGCCCGGTGGTGTCAGGCTCCTGATCAGGAGGGTGAACTTCCCTCTGGCTCAGCCATTTGCCTTGGACTGAGGAAGGCAGGTGGGGTTGACACAGGGGTGACGTCCAATGGATGGAGGGGCTGCATTTATTCCTCAGCGTGAGCCTGTCAAGAAGGATGAGGTCATCGTTGGCGTCTGATTCCTTGCCCCAGAGGCAAGACAGCAGGAAAGGGGACCAGATCGTCACCCAGAACTAAAACAGGCCCTTAAAATAATGTCCAGAATCTTCAATTATGGGTGGTAGAATACACTGTTAAGAATTTTAGGTGAATTACTGTAAATTATATTTAGTAAATATGACTGAACTGAGTCTCAGGCTGGGAGAGAGTGTCTGGGGACTTCCTGGTCCTGGTCCTTATTTCTCTGGGCAACTCCAAGCCTTCCGCATTTCTCCAGAGCCCCAATCCCGCCCTGAGGTGCATGCCGTCCTGGTGTGGGCCCCAGCCACCCTGCGCCCTCTCCGGGCTGTGGCTCTGGTGCACACTGGGAGGATGGTGTCCTTGCTCGTCCTCCTCAGGATGGAGGAGTCACAAGAGAAGCGCGTCTTTTCTTAAAAATGGTCTCTTGAATAACGTCCCTGTGCATTTTTGTTGATGGGCCCCTGTCCCAGCAAGGGCGAAGATGGGGACAGGTGGGGAGGGTTATGAGGACTGTCTTGCCACGGTGGGATGTGGTGTGTGACAAGAGGGAGAAGAGCCCTCAGGCCCACACGTGGGAGTGGAACCGTGGATGTGTGAACAGTGGCTGGTGAATGGCAGGGACCAGCGGGGCTCTCTGGACCATGGTGGAGTGTGTGGCCTGTGACGGGGAGAGGCACGAGGGATGGTGCTGTGGTCCCTACACAGCTACTCAGTAATGACCATTCACTCCAAGGAGCCAGGGCCTTGGGCTGGGCCCTGGGCTGACTGAAGGGGGGACTTGGCAGCCGGGTCCTTTCTGGCCCAGCAGAGTCCCTGAGCAGGGACCTTTGCATGGTCTTGGCAGGTGCTTCCTCTCAGGGCTCCCCCAATGGATAAAGCAAACCTTCCACCTCCTGGGTCTCCAGCGTGAGCCCAGCCCCAGCCCCAGGGCCCAGGGAGGGCTGGGCAGTCCCAGACGGAAATGCATCTGCAGCAGCCCCTCCTCTGGAGAGGGTGGAAGGAAAGGAGGCCTGGGCACTCCTGCCCCACAGCAGGGTCAGGGGCTGAGTCCTGGGCTCAGCCTGAGGGCCTGGGCTCCTCTCCCTGTGCTCCTCACTCACTGCACTGGCCGGACAGCCCTTGGAGACCAGGTTTCAGTTCCCAGCTTGTGTCAGCTCCTGTGCCTCAGACCCCGTGAGCCTTGTACTAGTGGGTGTCCACACTCACCCGTCTGCACCTGCAGGCTCCTCCCCGGGGGTGTCTCAGGCTTCTGCACCCTCTGCTGACTCAGCCACTCCCCACCTGTGCATCCCCAGGGGTGTCTCAGGCTCCTGCACCCTGTGCTGACTCAGCCACTCCCCACCTGTGCATCCCCGGGGGTGTCTCAGGCTCCTGCACCCTGTGCTGACTCAGCCACTCTCCACCTGTGCATCCCCAGGGGTGTCTCAGGCTCACCTGCACCCTGTGCTGACCCAGCTACTCCCCACCTTTGCATCCCTGGGGGTTCCTCAGGCTCCTGCGCCCTCTGCTGACTCAGCCACACCCCACCTGTGCATCCCCAGGGGTTGTCTCAGGCTCACCTGCACCCTGTGCTGACTCAGCCACTCCCCACCTGTGCATCCCCGGGGGTGTCTCAGGCTCCTGCACCCTCTGCTGACTCGGCCACTCCCCACCTGTGCATCCCCGGGGGTGTCTCAGGCTCACCTGCACCCTGTGCTGACGCAGCCACCTGTACATCCCCGGGGACATCTGTTCACCTGCACCCTGAGCAATGGCTTCCGTGTTGGTGACTATATGACATGCTGGGACACATCCCTGGTTCCTCCTGAGATACGACCCAGACTCAGGCAAGCACCAGGGCTCCGGCTGAGTCTGATTTTCACTGCGATACTCTCTTGGCAGTGGAAGCTGCTTTAGGTCCTCGCCGTATTCAGACAGAAAGTGTGTAAGACAAAACCCCTGGGCCCAGAGACAGTGGCTGTGAGCGTCTTTCCACTACCTTCTGTGCAGCCCCTCAGGAGCCACCTGCCTCTCAGTGAGACATGCCCACGAGCAGGAGAGAGACGAGCAAACAGGAGGTGCCTTATCACAAGGCAGCCTCGGGCACCTCAGGAACGCACAGACGGACGGGGCAACACAGCCCAATGCCCAGCCCACAGGATCCGGACTAAATTATTAGGAGTCGGAACTGTTTTTTGTGCCTGGAAATCCTGGTCAGTACAGCCACATCCATCCGCATATGCGCTCAGCAACTGATTCTGCACAGGGAGGCTGGTGTGTCCAGTGATGCGTCCAGGGCTGACGCGTCGGCACTCACCTGCACACGGACACGCTCTCCTCTGTCCCAGCCAGATGACACGTGAGGGGGACACGGCCACTAACCACCCTCACTGCTAACAGCCCCTGGACTCGCCCTCCTCTTCTCTCCATGACCGCTGCCTTCCTCAGGCCAATCGCTCTCTCCTAGGGCCTCTCAGGTCTTAACCCAGCTCCACGTGACCCTGCTCCTGCTGTGGGTTCCCTTCTCCAGGGACTCCTCTCTAAGGATGATCTGCAGACATCAGAGCAGCACACGGCCCTTCACAGCCTGACTCCTCCTCGCAGCCCCATGGCCGGGC